TTGCCTCACATGTGGTCAACCAGGGTTCGATCCCCAGCATCCCAAATGGTCACCCAAGCACCTCCAGGAGTGATTCCTCAGGGCAGAGCCAGAAGAAACCCCTGAGAATCACCAGGTGTGCCTGCCCCACCCCACACCCACAATTAAAGGAATATCTGGTGGGTCTGAGGTTTTGTAAGCAGGAGACCCAGGTTCAATCCCGGACAGCACCCTGAGCACCGCAGAGTGACCCCTCTTCACACAGAGCCAGCAGTAGCACCTGACACCACTGAGTGTGGCCAACCCCCTCTCCCTCCAAAAAACAACCAGTATCACCAGTATCTGGTTCTTATATATGCTACTGAAACACAATTAAGTGTTAGAGTGATAGTACAGTAGATAATGTGCTTGCCCTGCACATAGTTGACCATGTTTGATTTACCCTGAGCACCATCAGAAGTGATCCCTGAGCACAGAGACAGGAGTAAGCCCTGAGCATAGCTGGGTGTAGCCCAAAACAAATCCAAAACATTGATTGTTAAAAAGAAAGCAACACTGGAACGTGTGTGTATGTATGCATGTGTGCGTGCGTGCTTGTGTGTGTGTCGTGTCATGAGGTGCCAAGAATAAATCTGGGACCTTACACATGCTCTATCACTTGAGCTACTTCCCTAATCCCTATGTATAACTGTTTTGGGGGGTGGAGGGCACACCTGATGGTGTTCAGAGAATAGACACAGTTCAGTGCTAGCTCCTGGGGAAGCTCAGGGCACTATCAATACGGTCTACCCTCGGGCTTTTTGAGATGTTTTGCAAATAGTCCTCTCCTGGTCTGTCTGTAGTTTGTCATTTCATTGCTAGGTTTTAATTCTAATGAAATTCAATTTATCAATTTTTTCATGGACTGGTATCGTATTTAAAAATTAAGCATTTGCATGTTGAAAGTAGACTATGGACTGAACATGTTTGCCACTCAAAGCCTCTTTTGCAGACCACAACACCCAAAAGGAGAGAGAGAACACAAGGGATCGCCCTGCCACAGAGGCAGGGTGGGATGGGAGGGATGGGGGTGGGAGGGATATTATCCATGGTGGTGGAAAATGGGCACTGGTGGAGGGATGGGTATTTGATCATTGTATAATCTAAACCCAAGCACAAAAAATTGTAAATCTACAACTGTACCTCATGGTGTTTAAAAAAAAAAAAAATTCGGAATTTCAAAATCACGTGGCCCTACTGCAGCCACGCAACATCATGTTATTCATAACCAGAAATAGAACACAAATTGTCTACTGTTGCCTTTTCAGCAGATCTAAGTGTTGGGGTAAAATCTCAAATAATAATAGTGGGTTTGGTGTCAAAATATTGAATGTGATAAAAGTAGAGAGAGAGTAATGTGGAAATCATCTGCCCCACAGGTAGGGGGAGGGTGTGGGATGGGAGTATACTGGGGTTTTTGGTAGTGGAGAATGGGCACTGGTGAAGGTACGGGTGTTTCATTGTATGACCAAGACTTAGACCCGAAAGCTTTGTAAGTGCTCTCACGGTGATTCAATAAATAAAATTATAAAAAAAAAATTAAGCATTTGGTATTGTATCTCATTGCCAGTACCAAAGTCATCCAGAATTTTTCTGTGTTATTTCCTCTAAGTTTTGTAGTATTGGCATTTTACATTTAGGTTTATGGTTTCTTTTTAGTTAATCAAGAATATGAATGTCAAATATTTCTTTTTTTGTGGAGGGAGAAGGGGGAGGGCACACCAGATGATGGTCAGAAGTTACTCCTGGCTCTGCACTCAGGAATCACTCCTGGCAGTGCTTGGGGGGCCATATGGGATGCTGGGGATCGAACTCAGGCAAATACCCTACCTGCTGTACTATCACTCCAACCCCCTGGATATCAAATATTTCTAACATTATCTGTTGGAAAGAACTACCCTTTTCTGGTGAGTTGCCTCTGGTCGCTTTTTAGAGGTGAGTTGAATATACTTAAAATGGTTTTTTTTGTTTGTTTGTTTTCTTCCCATTCTATTGATCTGTCTTTCAACAACACCATGTTTTTTTTTTTTTTATTACATAGCATTAAGTCCTGAAGTTGGGTTCTGTCAGTACACTCTTCTCTCCATGTGCTCCAGCCCATTGGACTCTCTCTTCAGCCTCTAAGTTTACTTTTTTTTTTCTGGCGGGGGGGGGGGGGGGGGGGGGGGAGGGGACGCACACCTGACAGTGCTCAGGGCATTACCCTGGCTCTGAGCTCAGAATCACTCCTGGTGGGCTCAGAAGACCATATGGGGTGCCAGGGATCAAACTCAGATAGGCTACATGCAAGGCAAACGCCTTACCCACTGTACTGTCATTACTCTGGCTCCTAAACTGAGCTTTTTCAAGTTTCCTTACTCATTGTTAAACACACAATACTGACTATAAGATTTCATGAGGCTTGATAATATCTGTAAATTACTTTATACATAAGTCACCTAGTAAACAGAAACTGCTTTTTAAAAAAAAATTTAGTTTTAAAAGCCAATATTTTGGGAAGGTTGGGGGATTGGGCTACACCCAGCAATGTTCAGGGGTTACTCTTGCACCCAGGAATCACTACTGGTGGTGATGCTCAAGGATCATATGGGATGCCGGGGATCAAACCACCACATGCAATGCAAAGTAAGTACCTTGCACATTGTACTATCTCTCTGGCCCCTTAGTAGCCAATTTTGTAAGTAAGTAAGAACTGCTGTTAGTTTAGTCTAGGATGGAAGTTCCCACGTTTATTTGGCCTATCCCAAATAAAGAAAGGGAGTAGACAGTATGCAGTGAAAACAAACCCTCTGTCCTTGACTACAGGATTGCGGTTCCCAAGCAGCAGGGTGAGAAGGTCTGTGGGAAAAGCAAGGGGCAGATGAGAAGTGACACAGGACGGAGCCAGAGCAATAATACCATGGGTAAGGCACTTGCTCTGCATGTAGCCAACCCCAGTTCAATCTCCAGCACATGATATCCTGAACCCCGCCAAGAGTGAGTCCTGAGCTCAGAGCCAGGAGTAAGCCCTTAATACTGCCAGATGTGGCTCCCCAAACTAAAAAACAAATAAGCGACACGTGGATAATGTTGGAGGGTCTTTGGCACTTTAATAGTGATGATGGTAAATTCATTGTATACCAAAAACATTGGGCCACAGAGAGAGTACAAAGGCTACCTAGCCTGGAGCTACTGTCCAACACTGGCTCAAACCCTGAAACCACAAGTACATCACAAGGGCCACCAGGAGCAGCCTCTGCATGCAGAACCAGCTGTGGCGCAAAAAAAAAAAACAAAACAAAACAAAAAACCATTAACACTACTGTAACATGTTAATTTAACAGAGAAAGAGAGAGAGAGAGAGAGAGAGAGAGAGAGAGAGAGACCACTTATTCCAGCAGAAAACCAACCACAGTGACTAGAGAGAAAGTACAAAGATTAAGACGCTTGCAATACATCTTGTCAACCCCAGTTCAAATTTCTAGCACCACGTATAGTTTTCTGCATAGAGCCAGGAGTTAGTTACTCCAGGGCACAGAGCCATGAACAGCCTCTAAGAACCGCCAGTTATAGCCCAAATTTCCCAAAACAAAAAAAGACCAACCACAGTAAAATCATAATCATAATAATTAAGTAAATCAAACACTAGCCAAGGGGCAGCAGCCATAGTTCAAAGGGCTAAAGTACATGTTTTGCATGTGGAGGGCCAGGTTTGATCCCTGGCACCACCGGAATTGACTCCTGAGTATCACCAAGTATAGTCAACCCCCACCAAAAATAAAAGAAAAAAAAGAAGACAAATAATAAAATAAATAAAATTCTAGTCACTTACAGAAGCCCTTGTGAAATACAATCAGATGCATTTCTAACTATCATTATATCTTCAATTTGGCTGCAAATGTAGTCAAGACCAGGGCTGGAGATACCTCACAGGCAGAAACACAGGCTCTGCATGCAGCCAGTGTTGGATCCCTGGTACTGAATGATGGTTGCCCCCTCCACGCCCCACCCATTTAGCCAGTCATGATGTTCTTCTCACAAACATCCCTTAATGCATTCATTCCCTTCGTATATCTCCAGATATCTTCGGATATATCCTGCTTTTACTTTTTTATTCTGTTTCACTAGAGGAGAAGGGGACACACCCAGCAGTACTCGGAAGTCATCAGTCCAGGCTCCTTAAGAGAATGCACCCCGCAGAACACAACCCTACTCTGTGCACGGTGAGGACATGTGCTCATGCACTCTCCCAGCTCTGGTGCTGGTGGAACAGCCAAACCAACCCTCCCCCAAGACAACGACACACAGTTTGGGCGGGGGCCAGATACGAGTGAGTGCTGTCCCCACACCTAATCCTGTCTTCCTTACAACAATTACTTAGTTCTAGCTCTAGAAGACCCAGCGACCACGCATCATAAGCTCTGTCCCACTATCTGACAGCTGGACCATCGATCAGGCAGAGATGGGTACAAACATGTTGCCAGCATAAGGCAGCAATAAAGAACCCTTGGAGTTAGCTACAAAAAGCCAGAAGCTCAGTGAACACCAGATTCCTAGTTCCAGTGAAATGCTGCAATTTCATCAATTTCCTTTGACAGCCTTTCCTATAGGATAAGAGAATTGCTGTTGGGTCTGAGAAAAGGAAAAAAAGAATGCCAGAAAGGGTCAGTCAACTGCAGGAGAGAGCATGGCAATGTTAGATGAACTCAGGGGAGCTGAGTAACCAACCAGCAAACAAGCTCAATTCCACATCTACCTAATATGCACGAAAGAGACACTGTTAATACTAAAGAAAAAGGCCCCACTCATGACAGTCACTCCCAAAGGATTCTGTACCATGGCAGCTCTCTGTAGGAAGAAACCTTCTCAAGGAATAAATATTTGAAGTTCGACGACGAAGACAATGGAATCTTTCTATCCCTTCTGTCCCTCTGAAACAACATTCCTCAGGCAAAGACTGTAATGTCAGTGGAGCTGACCTAAGCTCAGACACTTGCCATTACCTCTTGCTGCTTCTCCTCATTGGGATAGGTGTCTACAAATACTCCCAGCCCCACAAATTTGTCCATGTTTCCAAACACAGGCCCTAGAGAGAGAGAACAGATGAACAATGAGACAAAGCCAAGAGTCGATAAGGGAATAATATAACAATATGGTGGTGGAGAAGGTGAACTTTAATTTGACTCCCGTGCCTCTCTTAAGAGGAGAAAACACTGGTAAAAGCACCCAAAAGCTATTGGCCACTGTCTGAGGGCGAGGGAAAGAGAGAAGGCCCCAGCAACCTTGTTTGGCACTGCACCTGCTCCTGATCCAAAGTGGTTGCTAAGGTGCCCCTAAAGATTTCTGCTTCACAAACACTTGGTGACAACTAAGTCCCCAAGAGAAAACTGAATTCCCAAGTTCCACTTCTTGCTGCAAAAGAGATCAGGTCATATCAGGCTGAATCTGCCACAGAGTTAGAGCAATGGCTCCCACAAAGATAAAACAGCTCCTTCTCATAACTCAGCACTGCAGAGATCTGTTTCCAGTGCGTTCCCGGAAAAAACTTTCTCCCCAACTTGATGTCTGAGAGTCAGTGTTTTCACCCAGTCAACAGGCCAGGTGGTTTCACAGAAAAAAAAAAAATAGATGGAATTAATCAGCAAGAAATCACTCCAGGATGAGTCAAGTTCAGCTGCTTATTAGGACTCGGGTCCTTTGCAGAGACTAGCCAAGGCAGTCTTCAGACACAGACATCAAGGGAGAGAGCAAAGCCCTGGCACTGTAGGGACAAATCCTCAAAAGGATGAATGCAGCAGGACAGGCCTGTGTCACCCCATACAAGAGCCACCCAGGGCTCACTTATGTACCTGGCTGCATTCGATCCTTTGTGTACCAGATCGCCAAGCCATCCCCATGGAGGTTCTTCTTCCCTTGTCCATGGATTTTGAAGTGCACCTGCAGCTCCCAGTCTCTCAGGAAACATGGCTAAAGCGGAAAAGATAGTGGAATTAGTGAGGAACATGAACTACAAAGCCCTGACATCCTTATCAGTCATCTACAGGTTTATAAGACAATAAAGGAAGGTAACATGAGGCTAAGGACTAAAAACAAAATATAAGATTTATGCACATGTATTTCATAAAATTAAATGAATTGAGTCATTCAACTATGAGATTTAATATTAAAAGCAATTAACTTGGGGCTGGAGCAATAGTACAATGGGTAGGGAGTCCGCCTTGCATGCGGCTGATCCAGATTTGATTCCAGGCATCCCAGATGGTCCTCTGAACACTGCCAGAAGTAATTTCTGAGTGCAGAGCCAAGAGTAACCTCAGAGCATCACTGGGTGTGCCCCCCACCCCACCCAAATAAAAAAGTGACTAACTCTCCCAATTCTCTCTGGCCTAACCCCACAGAAACGGGGCAGTATTGCCAAGTTGGAAAAGATGAGAAAATGCCAAATCAGATTACTGTTGTTCTACTTTGAAGAGCAAAGTAGCTCAACCTGTATACAAGGCCAAATTAACACAAATTTGCAATTTAAGATCACCCCCTCAGAGGGACCAGAGAGACAGCATAGTAGGATAGAGCTCTTGTCTTGCAAGCAGCTGGGTTCGATTCCCAGTATCCCATACGGTCTCCTGAGCACCACCGGGAGTAATTCCTGAGCACTGAGCCAGGAGTAACCCCTGAGCATCGCCAGGTATGACCCCCAAACAAACCAAAAATAAGATCACCCTTCTGAGAGAGGCACTCTGAAAAGCTTTGACTTAAAGAAAGGTCAAAGCTTCATTAATTACCAAAGAATAAGAAAAGCGAAGTCGTTACGAAAAGGTTTCCGGGAATAATTAGCAGGTGCTATAAGCATCTCTAATTAGCTAAACTTGGTCCTATGCCAAGCTAAGGGGCAAGCCAGAGTTCCCACAGGGAGGAATACGTTAGTCCCCATCTCATGCCTCTGGCTACGCAGCACAAAAGCACCAGCAAGATCATCGTCCTCACGGGAGCACAGCTTCTGGTGGGAAATATAAAGGAAATAGATGCTATCAGATTCCTGGTTTTGATTAAATAATAATAATAATAGTGTACAGAACTTCGGGAAAATGAAGAAAAGGTGAGTGGATAAGTAAGTACACTAAATAGTTGAACAATTTCAAGAAGAAACCCAAATGTGTATTTGGAGCCGGAGAGAAAGTACGGCGGTTAAGATGTTTGTCTTATTGAGGTTCACCTTGGTTTGAATCCTGGTTCCGAGAGCACGCTAGGAGTGAACCCTAAGCACAGATGAGCTGTGTCCGAAACTGATCCTGGTTTGATCATTAACCCCAAAACAAAACCAAAAATGGGTATCTGGTTGAGAGGCTCTGGATTAAAGCTTATCATGGAAAAAAGCAGACAGACTGGGGGTGGAGTCAAAGACCTGTCAGTCAGATTAGGGCTCCTAGTAATATAATGCCAGATTTTTTTCAGTATTGTGTTAGTTTCTGGAAAATCTGCCCTAAGTATCACTATCAGTGGGGCCTAGCGACAGGACTGGGATAGGGAAGGTACTTGCCTTGCATGTGGCTGACCCCAGTTCAACCCCTAGCACTCCATCTAGTTCCCGCATCCCTGAGCACAGAAGCAGGAATAAACTGAACATTGCTGTGTGTAGCCCAAAAACAAAAACAAAGTGTATTAGAAATAAATGTTTAAAATGCAAGGGGTATGGGTACCTCTAAATTTAGCAAAGAGTCTGAAATCTCCAATTGCCTACTCTATTTTGAGGAGCCCTGTTCCTGTGGGCCAAGTAAGGTTCTCATTTTTATGGTTTCATTTCTATATCAGGTCAAGAGTGAAATTCAGTGAGAGGAAGCTGCCCCACAGCGAGTGAGTATATAATAAGGCACCATAAAGAGGGCAGGACCAGAAAAATTCACACAGAGCCAGCAAGAGGCTGTTGTTTAACTGAGAGTCTTGATTTGCTACCTGTTAGATTCATTAAAGGAGTTTTACAACCCCCCAAGTACCTAGCAATTAATTCAGAATCTTCGGGGAAGGGATCCAGGCATCAATTTGAATGGTCAGCCAACTGTCAAAACCTACGTAAGCATATGCGGTCAAATACCTCAGAAACAATACCAAACCTCCCTCTCCGAATGAGATAAAACAAAAATACAAAAATACAAAAAAATACAACTACTGAAATCTGGAGAAGGCAGGGGATACAGTTCTGAGGATAGTATGTCTTGCATGAGTGTGAGCTAAAGCTCAAACTTCACATGCAAGAGCCGGGATAGATTCCAGACAGCACAAGGTTCCCTAAGCACCCCTGAGAGTGATCCAAATATTTTTCTTAAAAAGTAGGAAACTAGGGGGCTAGAGCGATAGCACAGCAGGTAGGGCGTTTGCCTTGCACACGGCTGACCCAGGTTCGATTCCCAGCATCCCATATGGTCCCCTGAGCACCGCTAGGGATAATTCCTGAGTGCAGAGCCAGAAGTAACCCCTGTGCATTGCCAGGTGTGACCCAAAAAGCAAAAAAAAAAAAAAGTAGGAAACTAAAGAGATAGTGCAGGGGTTAAAACACTTACCTTGCTCATACCTGACCCCGATCCTATTCCCTAACCTATAAGACTGATCACCACCAGGACTTATCCCTGAGCACAGAGCCAGGAATAAACCCAGAGCACCACCCAGGGTGGTACAAAAAGAATAGAAAAAAAAAAAAGGAGGGAAGGGGCACTATAAGAAGATATCAGATTGAACTACCACTGAAGGAGTTACCAAGTAATAGCTAGCAAAATAGCAGTGACATATCAAGCCTTGAACAAAGTTTAGTAACCCACACTGGCACTATCAATGAACCTTCTAACAGATATAGCAATACGCTTCTGTAACATTTTAACTTTCCAAAGTTTTTTTGTTTCAGTCTGCCATCTTATTTTATTCCTCACTATAACCCTGCAAGTAGAACAGATATTACGTAGCTCACATGACAGACAGGAAAAGTGAAAACTGAAAGAAGCTGCCCAAGGCTCACAGGGGAGCTGTGATACAGTTAGATCTAGAAGTGGTAAGTCTTTCAACTCACTTCCACCAGAACACCCTGCCCTGCATTCTGCCCAAGAACAAACTTAGCACCACAATCTGGGTTAAGGAATCAGTCTGTGCCAACAGCTCTTAGAGAACTTTCTCATTGAACAGGGAAAAGAAATAAGTCTATTTCCTGAGGCTCACTTATCTATAACTAATGATAAAAACAGAGCAAAAGTTATTCATTTATGAGCATCGCAAAGAGTAGTAAAGGATATCAAAAGTACCCTTCCCAAAAGCAAAGTGGTTAGGGGTTGGAGCGATAGCGCAGCGGGTAGGACGTTTGCCTTGCACGCAGCCAACATGGCCGACCCGAGTTCGATTCCTTCGCCCCTCTCGGAGAGCCCGGCAAGCTACCGAGAGTATCTCGCCCTCACGGCAGAGCCTGGCAAGCTCCCCATGATGTATTCGATATGCCAAACACAGTAACAAGTCTCACCATGGAGACATTACTGGACCCGCTCGAGAAAATCGATGAACAAAGGGAGGACAGTGACAGTGACACTTATCTATAACTAATGATAAAAACAGAGCAAAAGTTCTTCATAAATGAGCATCGCAAAGAGTAGTAAAGGATATCAAAAGTACCCTTCCCAAAAGCAAAGTGGTTAGGGGCTGGAGCGATAGTGCAGCGGATAGGGCATTTGTCTTGCACGTGGCTGACCCGGGTTCAATTCCCAGCATCCCATATAGTACCCTGAGCACCGCCAGGAGTAATTCCTGAGTGCAGAGCCAGGAGTAACCCCTCTGCATTGCTGGGTATGACCCAAAAAGCGAAAAAAAAAAAAAAAAAAGCAAAGTGGTTATAAAAGATTAAAAAGAGTCCTGAAACCAAAAGGAAACCATCATCTCACATTTGTAGAAAATCACAGTACAGGGGCTTAAGAGATAGTACAGCAAGGAGGGTGCTTGTCTTGCATGGCGGTGACCCAGTGATTCCCGGCATCCCATATCCCCTGAGTACCACAACGAGTAACTCCTGAGTGCAGAGCCAGGAGTAACCCCTGAGCATCACTGGGTGTGGCCCCAAAACAAATAAAATAATAAAGTGACTTTTATATGAAAATAAAAATTAAAATTTAGACTCCTCAAAGTGGGCTGGAGCGATAGCACAGTGGGTAAGGCGTTTGCCTTGCAAGCGGCCAACATGGCTGACCGGAGTTCGATTCCTCCGCCCCTCTCGGAGAGCCCGGCAAGCTACCAAGAGTATCTTGCCAAGCTACCCGTGATGTATTCGATATGCCAAACACAGTAACAATTGTCACAATGGAGACGTTACTGGGCCCGCTCGAGCAAATCGATGAACAACGGGAGGACAATGACAGTGACAGTGACTCCTCAAAGTAAGACAATGAGGAAACATGACGAAATAAATTTTATAGAACAATCTTCTGTTTTACAAAGTAATTAAAAGTGAATTATTAACCTCCCAAGAAGTAAGTCCTATCAGGTCACTTAGATATTTCCAAAAGTAGAATCAAAATGAATTATTGCTTAATTAGGGCAATGGAAAGCTCTGGCCTGGATATCTAATTTCATTATAAATATCATCATGATTCCCACAATGGAAATCCTTGACATCTATAGAAGAAAGAATACTGGAGGGAAAATAGTTAAATGAAGTCAATATGCTACCATGGAACTTTTCAAGAACTCTCTGGAGACACCTCAAGGAAGAGAAAAAGATTCTTACCACCCGGTTCCACAGGGCACCCTGTTTACTTTGCATATCAGGGGTAAGACGGACATACTGGGTCATCACCATGGCATTGCCCATCAGATTCCACAGTGAGGAGCCGCCTGTGCCCACACCTACAGGAAGGAAGTACATCAGTTCATATGCTTCAATGCCTACAGTCACAAAGCCACAGACTCTAGAGGCTGGCTCATCACTGTTTACCTTTTCCTGTCAATTTCCACCCTGGAAACTCATAAATCTGAAATACTCACCACCTTTCCAGCTCCCTTTCAGGAAACGTTTCTAAGCATAGGAGAACTGTTACTGTATCCACACACAATAAACCTACCTCAAGGCAATACTCCAGTTGAAGACATAGTATAGGGATTAAGGCACTTGCCTAGCCCCAGCGAACCTCCATTATTAAATACCTGGGTTAGAGTCTCTGAAACAAATAGGTCTTTGAGGACCTCCAGCGACCTTTGAGCACAGAGTCAGAGGTAAACCCTGGGCACAACTGGGTGTGGCCCCAGATCTCAAAAGGAAAAAAAAGAAATCCCCTAAAAATCCTGACCTAATATGATACCAGGCTTTGGGAGCAATAGTACAGAGGGCAGGGTGTTTGCTTTGCATGTGGCCCACCTAGGTTCGATCCCCGGCATCCCACATGGTCCCCAGAGACAGTACAGTGGGTGAAGCATTTTGCCTTGCGTGCAGCCAGCCCACCCCGGTTGGATCCCAAGAAGCACCTCAAATGGTGCCCTGATCCCATCAGGAGTGATCCCTGATCCTAGAGCAGGGAGTTAGCCATGGGCACAGCCAGGTGTGGTCAAAAAAAAAAAAAACTAAATAAGCTTTCTAGGGTCGGAGAGATGGCACTGAGTAGCTAAGGTACTTGCCTTGCATCCTATCACAAATGATCACCTGAGCCCTGCCAGGAGATCCCTGAGCACAAAACTAGGAATAAGCCCTGCAGGGTGTGGCCCCCAAAAAGCAAGTAAGTTTTCCGCGTGAAGCTACTTTCAGCACCTCTGATTATAAACTCGAGTGAGAACTTTGCGGGTGAGTTACCCATAGTATTAGCACAGAAGAGGCCCCAATGCAACTGCTAAATGGTCACCAAAATCGCAGGAACTACCCTCTTTTCTTGAGCGGTTTTTGTTTGCTGCCCCGCCCCACTCGGTGGGTAACAGGCACAGTTAAGCCATCTGCACTAACTTGGTACTCTTGTAGGGGGCCTTAATACACGTCCTGGGCGGGCAAATTACCCTCAGGAGCCTCGTACCCTAAATAGCAAAGCTGATCCGCCTACACTGAAGAACAGGTGCTTTTAAATTCCGGCAACAAGGATTTGCTTTTTTTTTTTTTTCTCAGTCCTGCCTTAGTTGGAACCCCAGACCTTCCTCCTCCTGCCGCTTTATCTCTAGCGCACCCAGAGGTCCATCCCGCCGGCGGCTCACTGCCGGCGGACCCTAACCGCAGCCCACCCTTCGCAGCTCTCTCCCCTTCCCACTCGTCTGCCGCGCGGCTCCAAAGCGCCCCTTTGCCCAGGCCCGGCGCGAGCGGCATCCAAGAACCTGCTGCAAACTTGCGCGCCTACGGGAACGCCGGGGAGGCGGACTCCTACCCGCGGCTCCCGCGAGGCCCCCGCCCCCGCCGCCAACGCCGCCGCCGCTGGCGGTGCCCTCAGGGCCAGGGGCCCTCCGCTGCCCCCCACCTCGACCGCAGGGACCGAGTCCCGAAGGCGTCCCCGTGCACCACTTCGCCCGGGGCACCTCACCCTGATAGGGCTTCGACAGCGAGTGCTCCCGCTTCAGGTATTCGAACGTTTGGCCCGCCCCGACTTGCCACGGCCCCTGCCCAGACCCCAGCAACAGCAGGAGGAGCAGCAGCTTGAACCCATCCCGAGTCGACCAACGCCGCCGCCACCGCCGCCACCACCCAGAGGGTCCCAGGGCCGCCGCCATCTTTCCCACCACCGTTCCTTTGGCGAAAGCCCGCCCCGTTTCGCAAGCCATTGGCCCGTGGAACCGTCTGCCCCGCTTCCCATTGGTTCTCGTGGAGCCCCCCAGCCCTGCAGGTGAGCACCTCACCAATTGGCTGGCTTGGGTATCAGTTGCCTTGCCAACCCAGGGAAGGGGCGTGGCCCAAAGCTCGGACTCCCCTCTTTGCGTGTGTACCGAGTTCCACTAGGCCTGCTGGGATACGTAGTGATTTCCAACTTGTCTTCGCGTTCTAGAGTAAATTTAAAGTGATAAGAAGGACCGCGATTGGGGTTCAGTTGGTAGAGCATGGATTTCACTACCAGTGATAATAATAATAATAATAACAATTTAAAATTTTAATATGAAGCTGTTTCTTCCAGTCCCATGCAAGTACTCTATCCTTCCTGTCAATAGTATCTCTTGACTTAGTACGCTATCATTCTGGCCCCAAAATAGTGTAGTAGTATTTATTGAAATTAATTTATAGAGATATGAGAGAGAAAGAGAGAGAACACAAGAGTGAGACAGACAGGCAGACAGAGATGTGTTCAAGAAAGAACATGGACTTGAAAAACCAAATAAGCCTGGGTTAGTACTTTTATTAAATAGCTTGACTTGGTGATATTTATAGTCTGCTCCAAAAACAAAAATCCTACACAAACTGAAAGAATTAAAAACACACAAAGGGGCTGGAGAGATAGCACAGCGGGTAGCACGTTTGCCTTGCACGCGGCGGACCCAGGTTCAATTCCCAGCATCCCATATGGTCCCCTGAGTACCGCCAGGAGTAACTCCTGAGTGCAGAGCCAGAGCCAGGAGTAACCCCTGTGCATCGTCAGGTGTGACCCAAAAAGAAAAAAAAAACACACAAGATATTTTATAGTAACAAGATTAGAAAAAAAATAGATAAAAATATTTCTGAGGGGCTAGAGAGGAAGTACAGAAATAGTACAGTGAGTAGCACACTTGTCTTACATGCTCATGGCCAACCCAGAATTCCATCATTGACTATCCCATATGTCTCCAGAGCCCAGCAGGAATGATCCCTGAGCATGGATAGAGACAGGAATAAGCCTTGAACATAGCCAGATGTAGCTCATAAACAAAAACAAAACAAAAATTCTGGAAAAAAAAAGAAAAGAAATATTTTTAAGAAATCCCCCAGATTCTTAGGTTCTGGTAAATTAAACAACTCACTTTATTTCTTGTTTGGCTTTTGAGCCAAACCCAGTATGCTAGGATTTACTCCTGGCTGTATTCAGGACTCATTCCTGGCAATGCTGAGGTGGACCATATGTGGTGCTGGAGACCAGGGGTTCAACCCAGGTTGGTTGCATGCAAAACGACCATGCACACAGTGCAATCCTCAGTATCCTATATGGTTCCCTGAGCCTGCTAGGAGTGATCCCTGAGCACAGAGCTAGGAGGAAGCCCTGAGCACCACTGGGTATGCATTCCACCTTATCAAAAAAGGTTTTGTCATGTTTTGTTTATTAATAGATTATTATCCATAAAATTTTAATGTGTACACCTCTTTTATATACCTATATATGGAGAGTCACTTAAAAATATCTCAAGTAGAGTGCTCAGGGTACTTGCTGTGCATGCAGCAGACCCAGGTTCCAGAGCCAGGAGTAAGCCCCAGCACTTCCTGGTATGACCAAAATACACCCTTGAAAGAAAGAAACATTTCTCCAGTACAAAGGGGTCTCTGAGGCCAAAATGATATTACAATGGTAAAGCGCTTGCTTTGCATGTGACCTACTCTAGTTCAATCCCCAACATCCCATATGGTCCCCGGTGCATCACCAGCAGTGATTCCTGAGTGCAGAGCCAGAAGTAATATCTAAGCATTGCCCGGTGTGGTCCCCCCAAAACAAAAACAAACCAAAAAAACACAAAGTGGTCTCAGAAAAAGCTTAAGAAGCTCTGCTCTAGAGAAGCAGAAATATGAACCTGATTTATGGGGATCTACTTCTTTTTTTCCCTCCCTTACACCTGATGGTGTCTGAGGGCTTGTGGATCACTCCTGCTGGTGCAGGGGGTTAAACTGGGCCTCCTCCATGAAAGTGTGTGCTCCAGCAGTTCAGCGCTCTCTCTGTCTCTGTCTCTCTGTCTCTCTGTCTATCTCTGTCTCTGTCTCTGTCTCTTTCTCTCTCTCTCTCTCTCTCTCTCTCTCTCTCTCTCCTTCTCTCTCTCTCTCACCCCTCCTCCCCCCTCAACCCCCAGGGACAATTTTTTCAAATTAAAGCAGTTGCAGCCATTGATGCACATACAACACACACAGAAGATGTTTGGTGCCAGGCACTGGGAATCGTAATGAACTGGGAATTGCTATGTCATTTCCTGGCTTTTAAACTATTCCCAGTTCCCAATGACCATATTAGAATCCAAACTTCTCAGTATAGCCTTCAAGGCCCTTTACAATCTAACTCAAATCAGGATCAGGCTGTGCATGTCTACAACAAAGTGTGTCGTCCTGAATTATGCAAATCAATCAGCAGATTATATGTTGTCTTCCCAGCAGGGCTGGAGGCAGACCACAGGAAGCAGGTCTTATTCATTTCCTGTCCTAGATCCCACCCATTTCCACACTCCCAAGCCCATCACAAAACACCTCAGAGAAGGTCTCATTATCTTGAATAAAGTTATTTTCAGTTGTATTTCTCTGTCAACTGGAAATTTTCATTGTACAAAAGAAACATTTTTTTCAAATGTATCTTTTGGGGACAGAGAGATAATACAGCAGGTAAAGGACTTGCCTTGCACTAGGGTGCAAGACCAGGGTTCACATCACATATGGTCCCCTGAGCCCTATCAGGAATGATCCCTCACTGTGAAGCCAAGAATAAGCCTTGAGCACAGCTGGGTGTGGTCCCAACTCCTTCACATCCCGCTTTTTAGCAATTTTCTTCCACAGAAGTGGGGGGGTCAGTATCCCAAACCACGCTCAGACCTGAAGGCCACTCTGGTGATTCATGGTAGACCAGGTCAGATGGTAAACGCTAGGGCCCAGGAATGTGGTACGTTTCCGGCGTGCAGTGCCAGGTACCACCATGACCCCCGGCAGTATTTAAGAGTCTCCAGGACTTCCTTGGCAGTCAATGCACAGGGGACCATGCAGTGCCAGAGATTGAACTGAGATTGGGCCCCTGGAAGACATGCTGCACCTTCACCTGTACTAGGCCCATGCTTGGAGGATGCCCTGTGGCTTCAGGAGACCATGTGGAGTCAGGGACTGAACCTGGCCTCCCCCATACAAAACATGGGCACAGCCCTATTGAGTCATCTCTCTGACCACATTTTTTTTTTTGGTTGGGGGGAGAGGGGTACACCTGATGGTACTTAGGGCTTAACTCCTGGCTTGAGGTGGTGCTTGAGGAATCATGTGGTGCCAGGGACTAAACCATAGTTGGCCTTGTCCCTTATTCTCTCTATCCCTCTCCCCAGCCATTTTTAAGGATACAGTTCAGGAGCATTTAGTATACACATTGTTTTGTGAATCGTCAAATGGAATTTTTATTGTTCTTGTTTGTTTTGGGGTCACACCTGGAGGTTATTGGGGATTACTCTTGCCTCTGCACTCGGGAATCTCTCCTGGAAGGCTCAGGGGACCATATGAAATGTCAGATATTGAACCCAAGTTGGCTGCATGCAAGTTAAGTGCCTGGCCCTCTGTATTGTAGCTCCAGTCCCTCAGCTGGAAATTAAAAAAAAAAATTCCCTAGGGCCAGAGTGATAGAACAGCAGGTAGGGCTTTTGCCTTGCACACAGTTGACCCAGGTTTGATTCCTGGTATCATATATGGTCCCCTGAGCATCACCAAAAGCGATTCCTGAGTGTAGAGCCAGGAGTAACCCCGAGCTTGACTGAATGTGGCCCACAAAAAAAGACTTTCATGTATTGAGGAGAGGTAGAAAGACAGAGAGAAGTCAGCCCCTCACACCCCCCACTTCCCCACACCACTCACACACACGCACACATACACGCACGCACACACATACACACACACACACACACACACACACACACTCAAGCACTTTCTGGAAGCATGGCCAGTTCTTCACCTACTATCCCTATGTGGCCCAATCTTCCTCCCTAGAATTTTCTCTGATGCTGGAGAGCTGCGTACTTCCAGGGCATTTTGGGTCAATCTGGCAATTCAGGGTGCGTCTTCCACCTTCTGGTTTTCACACTCAAACGGCACTGTCTAGTCAGTAGCCCCTTGAAGCCTGATACCCTTCTGTCCCATGACAAGAAGCTGCACGGCTACCTTCGGCCTCATCCTTTCTCCTCTCCCACAGGCATTCCCTTTTGGCCCCTTCCCTTCCCATTTTTGCTGTTGTGGTGCTCAAGGCTTGTGGTGCTCCCAGGGGGCTGAGTGCGCTTGACTGTGATATTTAGGTGATCACACACTTTCATTGTGTGACACTGAAGCACCCAAAGGGCAGTGCTGGGGAATCACACTCCAGACCTCATGCCTGAAAGGCCTTGCTCTGCCAGGAAGCTATCCTCAGGGGAACACCCCTGGCAGGACTCAGGGGATCATATAGGGTCCTGGGGATCTACAACATACATAACAAACACTACCAAGCACCCTACCAACTCTACTGTTTTTTTAATTATTATTATTAGTGAATCACCTAAGAGAACAGCACAGAGTCTCCTGTCTCCGCACCTGGCTGTCCTCATTGGGGCCCCTTGGAGGAGGGTGGGTTGAGTTTCCCTCCCCACCCTGAGCAGAGCCCCGGCAGCTGAAGACCTCTGGTTCCAGCCACAGCCATGCTTAAGACCACTCTCCACACATTCGGACTAGACTCACGCATGAAGGAACCGGCAGAGGAACCCAGGTGTGTGGGATCCAGAGCGTAGATCTCCAAGCCTGCTCAGATTGGGACTGGGCCTCCTCCACCCAGATTCCCCATCTTCCAGTATGTAGACGTTACACCCACCAACTGCCCCTGGCGCCGTGTAATCCCATCAATGGCCAAG